ATGATTTCAAAAATATTTCTATAAATTTTCATAATATTTAAATAGTTATTAAAAAAATTATATTAAAAAAACCAATTTCAAAAATTTATGACTCACACTGTATATATTTTTTTGAAGGAACAAATAATTTTTATATTTTATTTTTATTTATACTTTTAAACTTGTGGTTACAAAATTTATAAATCCATAGTATGATAAGAAATTATAAGGATAAGTATATGAAATATAAATGATATATCAGGTATAAATAATATATTAGATATAAATGATATATCAGATATAAGTGGTATATCAGATATAATAGGTATAATAGATATAAAATAAAAATATATACAAGTGACCTGAGAATGATCAAAAAGTAAAAAGAATTGAAATAAGTACTGCACAACTGTTAAATAAAAACTATATTTGATAAACCAGTATCACAAGATCGACAGACTGATCTGCATCAGCATTATAAACTTTGGTCGAAGTGATTGACTTGCCATGATTTCACCGTAACAACTTGAATGATAAAATATTTTTTTAATAGTACAGTATTTTAAATAACAATATTATTATTGTCTAATATTGAAAATTATATTTTTATGATAATTTATCTAATTATTTTTTAACGTTATAACAAACGCTTATATTGTTTTCGAAGGCGAACAGGATTTATTGGATACTATAATTGTGGTCTAAAATTTTTATCTTTTACCCAATATGCAGCATTATCATATTTCTTACGAATTGTGTAAGAGACTGACTTACATGTTGTAACGTACTTACCATGATCACAAAGACTGTTCTCCTGTCTTAGTATATACTATTTTAATAATAAACTTGGATGCAATAGTTTTCTTTCAGTTCCCTATGAGCATTCTTACTACATTCGATAGGAGGTGACTTCCATTAAGAGGTCATTTGAATTGATACACACAAGTACAGTATCTACTTTATTTGAGTCTATCTACCATGTCATCGTTCCACAGTAGCGAAGTACTTTAAGGAATGAGACTATGGTTGGTTGTCATGTTAGGATCATCTCAACATACTAATGTTTATTTTTAATGTACCAGCTTTTAGCGTTTGCTGCTCAAAGTTTTTTGCACGTGATTAGTTATCAATTCCATAACCTTAAAATGATACCGAATCTTCAATTTGAAATATTCACAGTTTTTCTTTAAGTAAACAACATTCTTTATTATTTTATATAAGTTATTTAAAGTTATTTATATGCTATAAATGAATAATAATAATAATAATAATAAATAATCCATTCAAATTCGCAAGGGTCATTGTCAACTAAAATCGATCTAAGTCGCGAATATGTATCCTTGGTGGTCCATCACGGGCACCAGTGGGTAATGTACCGACCACCAAAATCATGTTAATTAAAAAATTGTCCAGTAAGTGCCAACATACGTTTAATGTCAGAGTTTTGAGTAATATGTGAATTTTTCTCGGAAAAAGGTGTTGATTCATTAACTATTGATTTTTGTGATGGCATGCTTGATTGAGAAGAGGGTGAATCTGGACGTTGATCTTTCTGAGAAAAAGGCATGTTAGTTAAAGGACATTGATCTCCCCAAGAAAGATGGGCTGACGATTTATTGATCGTTGATGTTTGCGATAGCGCGTTCGTTAGGAGTGAGGATGAATCTGGATGTCGTCCTTCTTGAGAATGAAGGGTTGACTCATTAACCGTTGACGTCTGTGATGACGTGTTTGTTCGAGGGCGGAATGAATCTTGACGTTGGCCTTCCCAGGAAAGGGAGGCTTGTTCACTTGTTGGCGTTTGTGATAGCATGTTCGTTAGAGGGGAGGATGAATCTTGACGTTGATCTTCTCGAGGAGTTGATTCATTAATTGTAAATGCTTGTTGTGGTGATGGATTCTTTGTTATAGAAGAAACACTTGGATGAATATGAATATGAATATGTTGAGTTCCACTAAAATTAAAAGAAATATTCGGTAGAGGTTGTTCTGGATTCATTTTTCAATATTTATTTCTTATAAAATCACAGACGTTCCTTTGACCCTTTAAATAACTTTTTCTATATACTGTATTGCTCCGAATCTGTATCACACAGATCCGTGTAACCGCCCTGCTAACACCATATAACCTATGATATTTATATTAACAGGTTTTTCTTTCACTATTATTATTCTTATTCGTGTACATTATGTGATTGGGTACTATACGTACGGTAGTACTGTATATGATGAAAACAATGCGTAGATTTATTCGGTGTTTTCTTTCTTTCGTATCCATTCCCACCACAGCAAAGGAAATATTTATGCGAGGGAAAGAGTCGGAATAACAGGGTGCGCCACATCTTCGCATGAATCACCTGAATAATATTAATAAATGCGCTACACCGATGCGTGGGCCATTATTCGAATAAATAAAATTGAGATCACATTGCGTGAGCCAGCACTGAAATACTGTATGATAAGACAGATGTATGAGAATTTATTGCACCAGATAATATACTATTAAAGTTGAAAAAATCTAACATAAAAAATGAAAAATCTAACGGTGAAAAATCTAACATAAAAAATGAAAAATCTAACGGTGAAAAATCTAACATAAAAAATGAAAAATCTAACAAAAAATGAAAAATCTAACGGTGAAAAATCTAACATAAAAAATGAAAAATCTACAGTGAAAAATCTAACAAAAAATGAAAATCTAACGGTGAAAATTCTAACATAAAAAATGAAAAAACTAACATAAAAATGTAAAATCTAACATAAAAAATAAAAAATCTAACAGTGAAAAATCTAACATAAAAAATGAAAAATTATTTTAAAATTTAAATTTTTTATATTTTTAATAAATTTATCAAGTATTAATTAAATTTTGTTAAATATTATTATAAATATAATTTTTTTATTGAAAATATACAATTTGATTTTACTGGAGTATATAATACTAAATAATTTTGTCAACTTTATAATTAAATAATAAATTTTATTCTGAGTGCTATAATTTTTATTACAAAATATTGTAACTATTGCTGAATATTTTTTAACTAAAAATATTTTTTTGCTGAATGATTTTTTTGCCAAATGATTTTATTGTCAAATAATTTTATTATTTTTTGTCAAATGTTATATTTTTTTTTGTCAAATTATTGTATATTTTTAAATATCAAATGGTATAAATTGAACCAAACAACAAAACTTTAGTATAAATTTTTATTAATTGAATTTGAATTTAATCAACTATAATTCAGCAGCTGAATAATCTAATTTAAACTAGTGCAGAATATTAAAATAGTAAAACAACTAATAAAGCCAAATAATTTTTTAAATATCAATAGATATTCAAGATACTTTTTACTAGATATTATTATTGTTATTATGGTATTTTTTTTTTGATATTGATAACAAATAATATCAATTTACTATACTCTCATTCCATTTTACTAACAGTTTAAAAACATTTATAAAAATATTAAAGTCTCTATTAGCCAAAGCAAAAAAACAAGAAATTAAATTAGTAATTTATTTAGATAATTTGCTAATAATGATACAATTAAAAAAGATAACTCTAGGATATACAGAATTAATATCTCAAATATTAAGAGAATTGTAATTTACAATAAACCTATAGAAATTAATATTAATATTTATATAACAAATAAAGTTTTTAGATTTTATAATAAATACAAAAAAAGTAACACCCAGTCTTCTATTATAAAAAATCAAAGATATAAAAAAAAAGTATATAATAGTTTAAAAAAATACAAACTTCATATAAAAAAGCTTATCATTATAATTAAAAAGCTCCCAGTTACTATTGATACAATATATTTAGCAAAATTGTAGACTTGTGTATTAATTCAAGACAAAAACTTTGCACTCAAGTATTGAAGTTGAAATATTTACCTAATACTGTCTCTAGAAAGTTTCTAGCAACTTTAGTAGTAAATTATTAAACTAAATAATTGGAAATCTTATGATACAGTAAACAATAGGTTCTAATTCAGTAATAATAACTTTTACTTAATTTTTAATAATGATCACACCAAGTTATTTATTCAAATTATATGAGACATTATATTTCAAAACCATTAAATAAACATAGAAAAATTCAAGCTTCATAGAAAAAGAATAATTAATATTTTTAAAATAACATAATTGCAATAAAAAATATATATATACAAGATTAACCAAAAGCTTTAATAAAGCAGTATTACATCTTTAATTCAAATAATGAACTCTAATTAGATGGATAGCAATAAACATATATAATTAATTCAAGACTTATAAGAAAACACTAATAACTTCAACCTTTAACTATCTATATTATGGAAAAAAAATAACAAGAAAAATAATAAAACTGCACAAATCCAAGAAGAGTTATCAAAAACAACTTGCACTTTGTAATTATTGTCTAATTACCAAAACCCTTAACAGATAATTCAGTTTCTAAGATCTATTAAAAAAATCACTACAAGTTCAAAAATTATAAAAAGAATATAACAAAATTAATCAAAATATAGCTTTAATAGTCTTAACTTTCAAGCCTATACAAGAGTTGATAAAAATTCTAGAAGAAAAAGAAAAAAAAAACACACTAGCACTTCATTTAAAGAAACAGCCAGTTTTTTAAAAAAGATATGCCTCAATAAAAAAAAAATAGAACCAAAACAGAAATCAAGCAAGCAATTCAAGAAAGATATAGAAATTTTAAAGAGAATTAACAAAAAGTAATATAAAACCTGATAAACAATTTTCATGACAAAATAACTATAGACAGAATTTGTATTCAGAATAAACTAGGAAGAGAATATATATTAATAGACAAAGAAGAAATCCCATATCAAACTGAAAAATACTATAAAAAAGTTTTCAAGAAGTAAAACAATAACTTTGAACTACTGGACAAAAAATAGAAAGAACAATATATGTCAAAAATTGAAATAAAGAAAGAATAATATAACAAAATAATGAATACTATTTTCAAAAATGAGTTAAAAAAAATATTAAAAGACTTTCCTAATGATAAAGCAGCAGAACTCAACAAGATCAAATATAAAATGTTCAAAAAACTAAAAAGAAAAAGAAAAAAGATACTATATCAACTTATAAACATATATTTAATTTACAGTTAAAGATAAATCCTTAAATTAAAAGTAAAAACATAATTCAAATGTTCTTCACTATAAAAAAGTTTTTTTTTTTAAATATAAGATCAAAAAAAAACTACCTGCAAAGGTTTTTGTAATTTAAACTACTTAATTCAAGTGTTTTTTAAATTATATTCCTATTAAAATAATAAATAATTAATTATATTTCTTCAAAAAAGACATAATTAATCTGTGAAATTTTATATGTTAAATAATTTAGGAATCCATTCTTACCTACCATATAATTTTAGTATTATGAAAGAAAAATCTATTCTATCTCATTTCAATGAAAAAAGAATGACAAACCAATTTAAGCAACATTAGACTTATAGTTCTTCTAGATGTCTTATGAAAATATTTTATCAAAATTATTATCAATTGATTGTCTTTTATATACACAAGATATAATATTTTAAAGGGCTTCAACTTTGTAGAACTATCTGTAAAAAGTATTTCAAAATCCATCCACTTGTTAAATAATATTTGTAAGAAGATCAGAAAGAAAAAAAAATTTCAAAATATAACTAAAGCATATAATATGATTAGTCTAAAAATATTATAAAGAATATTTCAAAGAATTAAATTTTAGAGAATTTCATAATACTTATTTTAAATCTCTTTATTGATAGATCATTGAAAGTAATTATAGATATAGAAATAACAAAAAGAATAATAGCAGGTGATGAAATAAATCAATGAGAAACAATTTTTTCTTTACTATAGTATATCTTTTACAACATATTATTATATAAAATCCAAAATAATACAAAACTGAATTATTTCATAAACTGTAAATAGAGAACTGACTACAGCAAGAATAAATTTATATAACTGTCTATTTGGCAAACTGTTATAGCATATATGAATAAATACTATCTGAATTATCAGATTCAAAAGAGATATTAGAAATATTTTGAAAAGGGCCAAGTTGTTTTATGTAACCAATGATTCTCAAATTAATGATAACAAATCAATACAAATTATGGTTCTGAAAATTAGAATTGAATAGAATTATAAGAAATTGCATAAGGTTTGAAATACTATTAAAAATAATAGTGAGATATATTCCACCTATTAAATTTAATATAAACTTGAGAATTGAATACAGAATCAAAGAGAATCATTAGGATCATTAGTACTAATTACAATAAACAATCACAATAAACAATCACAATAAACAATCAAACATGATTAAAATTGAAGTAAATCAATAAGAAATAATTGAAGGTAATCATAATAGCTTTACCAGATTTCTGGAAATATGAATAAGAAACAAAAGATATACTAGAGATACAATCTATCAAATCAAGCATAAAATTATAGCAATTGTATCAAGCCTTTAAAAAAAAAGTAACAATTAAGCATATATAATATATTCTAAATAAAGTGCTTATTATATATATAGAATACCAAATGTAATACTATTTTTTAAATCAAAATACTAATAGTACAGTTAAAAAAAACTTTTAAAAAAGTGACATAACTGGTTTTAACAATTTCTAACTTAGTTATTTATTATAAAAAAATCTATAATATTAAAAATACTAAAGAAATTCAAGTAGAAAATCAGATTTTTAACTTTATAAACAAACTATATAACATGGACCCAGTTAATATATCTATATTAATTCATCTTAAATAAGTACAAGTTCAAAATCAAGAACCAAGCAATATTTTGACCAATAATATTTCTCAATTATTAAAATATTCAAAGAACTTCTTAGCTCAATTTCTAAAAATAACCAATAACTTGGGAATTACAATATTCAACTTCTGATAGTCTAATTACTTTAATTGGAAAAAAGGTTTATTATTTATCAAAAACAAGTTCAATAATACAAGATTATATTAAAAAGCAACATTATCTTTAAAAAAACATATTATAATATTTGTAAATCAAATAATTGACAATAATACTAAAACAATATTATTTTAAAAAATTATTCAAATTCTTTTGAACACTAGCAAAGAACCAATATTATTATGGTTTAACAAAATCTAATCAATTCTTGTAAACAAATATAATATTCAAAATAATAAATAGCAAAGTTGAAATTGAAAAAAACAAGACAGAAGATTTTTCTCAAGTAATTTAAACAAAAATTGATGCCAATAGAATTGAAAGATTACAAGTATAGAGGAAATACAGTAAATGAACAAATTATTTGATATAAAAGCAAAAAAGATTTAGACTATCAAGTCTTTTAAGTAAAAGTCTATAATATGAAAAAAAATCCAAATCACAAAGATATCATTTAATTTCAAACAAATAAGAAATTATGAAATTAAGGAAATAATAAAAGATTAAAGATTAGACCTTTATCATACAATATTTTTAACCAATGTTTAATCTTTAGAAAAGCAAATAAACTGGAAATTCCAATTAATATATATATTTTAGAAAATCTAGCCAAAAAAGAATTAGAATATTTCAAGAAACAAGTGACTATTGACAATCATATCATGATAATTAAAATAAAAAACTAGAAGTACAAATAATTAAAGAACATATCCAATCTCTAGACTATATATAAGTCTTAATAAAAGAATATAGAAATAATAAAGAAGATAATTTCCAACAGTTTTATTACTTTTATATAAACAAATTATATGAAAAAGCAAAATATTAAACATTAAAAATAGGAGTTGCCTGGCTACAAGTTAAAGATCTAAATTCTAAAAGATCTATATTAACACTTTACAAAAACTCCTAAACTCTCATATCAGAAATATAAAAAAAAGAAATAGAAAACATAAGAACTAGCAATTGTGGATACGATGTATAGATCTAATACACAAGAAACAAGTCATTATTCAAATAACTAAAGTAAAAGTTTATAATAAGGACAAAGCTAATAACAAGATAGATCTTTATATCAAAATAGCAAAATAAAAACTTGAGATTTGTTGGAACAATTAGTATCAACAAGAAGCTCCAACAATATTATATTGAAACAAAATTCTTATCAATATAAGAATAAAAGACTTTGTTAAAGAAATATATAAAAAAAATATTCTAATGAAATATATAAACCAAAATTAAATATAAAAAAAATAGGCCAAGAAAATAAATAATCAAGAAAACTTATATTGGAATAGTTTTTGGAAAGCAAAAAAAGTAGAAGGATTTCTAATAACATAATTTAAACAAGTTAAAGAAAAAGTTTTTTGAATAAAATTAATATATAACAAATTACCAATCTTGAACAATATGACCAAAAAATTTCCTATAAAATATAAAAACCTAACCAGTTGCTTATATTGTCAACAAGAAAAAAAATCTCTGGAATATTTTCTCTTTTGTAACAGTATTACAGAAATACATAAAGAAATATAAAACAAAAGCAAAGATCAACTATTTAATAAATAGTTAAAAAATGTTTAAACAAAAGAAATACAAGACAAACAAACTCTTATATACAAAGATAATACAAGCATAAATTTTCTATAGGCACAGAAATCATAAACTTATATTTAAGACTTTTCTCAAAGAAGAATATTTTAAAATAGATATAAACAATAACCAAAATCAAAACTCGTAAAGCAAAGCAATTACTAAAGAAGTTCTTAAAAAATATTTGCAAGCAAGTCAAAAAAAAGCTATAGAATAACAAATGTATCAGATTATAAGATCTAGGAAAAAAACCCAAAATATACAGATATAGAAAAAAAGATATTCACAAAATAAGAAAAAAGAAAAGAAAATCACAAGATCCTAAACAAGAAGAAACAAACTTAAAGAAATTATAAAACAATAATACAAAAGATTTCATCTTACAAATTCAAGATAAGGTCTCAATTTGGTAATAAATTAAAGAAAAAAAAATAATTAGGAATATAAAAAATAGTCCAAATTTTGATAAGATAAACTGTAGTTATGAACTGCTAACAATAATCTTTAAAATTAAATCCCATAAGTGGATAAATTATAAAGAAAGCAACTTTTTTTATCTTAAAAGTCACACCTAAAGATATTAGTTAAAGACAGATGTTCAAGGCAATAGAATAGTTTATGCAATACAATATATTATATATTATTTGTTTTTTGTAAAGATTTTGTTTGAAAATAGGAAAAAATAAATAAATAAATAAAGTTTATATCAATATAATAAAATAAAAATTATATTTAAAAAAACAAGTTATTTTTGACATTAAAAAAAATACTTGTAATCTTAAGATACTGTATATTTTAGGATTTTAATAACTCAAATTGATTTAATTTTAATTTTCAGATCTATATTAAATTTAATATATGGATTATATTTTATTATAATTTTTAATAGTATTTCAAATTTTATACAAGTTTAAATGTTACACGGGGTTTTTTCTGTATCAAAAAATCATATTCTAGTAATGTATGGAAAATTCCGTTCCCGAAATAGTGTAAAAGCAATTCAACACAAAGCAGTAACATTGTGTATAACGCAACATTTTTGTTTCCTTTTTCACTTACTTACTTTTTGAACTATTCAATACACACATAAATAAATAAATTTTTTTTGTGTTACTAACTTTCTCTTGACATGCAATAACGCAACGCCCTTTTTCATTCACCTCCTTTTCTTACTTTTGAAAATGTGAAACTATTTACACAAATAAAAAAATCATTTTTTGTGTTACTAACTTTCTGGCAGTATTCTGAGATACCTCCTCTTGTATGTTTCTCATTTTACACATTACTTGGAATTGACGAGAGAAACGCTTGAGGAATAAATTGATGCTAAACGCAAAGTACATATAAAATCGGGATCTTTGGAACAACAATAGCATTGTGTATAACGCAACATTTTTTATTTCCTTTTTCATTCACCTTTTTTCTTACTTTTTGAAAAGGTACACATAAAAAAAAACTATTCAATACACATAAAAAAAAACTATTCAATACACAAAAAAAAAAACTATTCAATGCACATAAAAAAAAAACTATTCAACACATAAAAAAAAAAAACTATTCAATACATATAAAAAAAAATTTTTTTTTGTTACTTTCTGCTTGACATGCGCAACATATTGATTCCCACTTCCACTCTTTTTGAAAATGTGAAAACTATTCAATACACAAATAAAAAAATTCTTTTTTTGTGTTACTAACCTTCTGCTTGACAGTATTTATACCGTAAAGGTTCCGAGATACCTCCTCTTGTATATTTCTCATTTTCTTTGATTAAAATCCATTATTTAAACATTACTTGGAATTGACGATCGAAACGCTTGAGGAATACATTGATGCTAAACGCAAAGCACATATAAAATCGGGATCTTTGGAACAACATTTACAGCACATCCAAGCCTATAACCTAGCACTTGTGGTTCGGTGTTTGACTTATTGAAGAAGCTCTCGAAATAACATAATCCTCACAGACTGAAGCCTCGCTCGATTCCTCGAACAAGAACACAAATAGAATTTCCAACCTGTTGAGTATTGATGAACACACCAACATTGACGAAAACGAAAACATTGATGGTAAGCCTCTATTTCATATACTTTTTTTATTACCGTAGCCATCTGAGAGTGATTTTTCATTATACCAGAAAAGAATTCAAAGATGACATCATTGCTGTGCTTCGATGCCACAACAATAAATCTTGATAATTAAAAGTATGCGAAACCATTGCAAAACTTACAACTGTTATACAAAAACATTTCTTCTGCCGCTATCCCCATTTTGGCTCTATTACCGAGTTGGTATGCGTTATGATTCACAACATTATGAACTACAGTAAACGAGTACTGTAATCGGTGAATCTGCGTTTGTCTATCTAAAAATAGTAATTATATTTCTAAAGTTGTGAATTCACGCGATTATATGAAAAAAAAATATTTGAGCACAAAAACGCAAGAAGAAAGAATTTGACTTGCAGGTCGCAGTTTATAATGCCCTTGACGTAATTACTAATTCGCATCATTTAATTAATGCTACTATATTTTTACTATATGGCACGCGATACTTAGAAATAGTTATTCAAAATGAATCCAGCAAAACAACCGTTTTCATTCAATATCAGTGGAATTCACCATTCTCATTTCAATGTCAATTTTCATTTTCATCTTCATTCGAGCGCTTCTCCGGAAGAAACACCATCTGCTTATTCTCGAGAAGACCAACGTTCAGATTTATCCTCCCCTCCGGCGAACGTACTATCACGAACATCAATAATTGATGAACAAACCACTCTTAACCCCTTTTCTTGTGAAGGCCAATGCCAAGATTCATTTTACCCTCGAACAAGCGTGCCATCACAAACGTCGGCGATTAATGAGTCAATCCCTATTTCTCAAGAAGAACGGCATCCAGGTTTATTCTCCCCTTTAACAAACATGCTATCGCAACAATCAACAGTTAATGGATCAACTCCCCTTTCTCAGAAAGAAGGATGCACAGATTCGCCCTCCCCTCCATTAAGCATTCCATCCCAAAAATTAAAAGTTAATGAAACAACTCCCCTTTCTCAAGAAGGAAGTTCGCCCTCCCTTTCATTAAGTATGCCATCACAAACGTCAATAGTTAATGAACCGACGCCTTTTTCCGGGAGTCTTACGCAAAACTCTGACATTGAACGTGTGTTAGCATATACCGGTCAATTTTTTAATTGAATAATAGCTTATTTTTGGTACATTAATTTATTTTCTCGATTTAATACATGGATTTTTTTTTGTTTTTTTTTTGTTATTTATTTAATAAAGAATAATTTTTACTAAAAGAAAAAAGCGAAAATAATAAAATAAAGTGTATACTGCACACAAGTTGGAAGCAACACACAAATCGTCCCATACAAATATCCTAGACATATGATTTAGGACCTACATAGGCAGGTGTTGACGCATTATATTGAGATGAAAGAGTAAGTTCTTTTATCTACCTCGTAAATTAAAAGTACAAATTTATTAACGTCATAAAATCTTTACATCTTGGTCAAACGACAAATTATGAACAATATTACACACATATCCTGGCCTGGTTCGGTATTCTCCCATTAATTAGGAAATCATTAGATACGTTGACTTATTAAAGTAGAAGTCCTCGCATTAACACAATCTTTACAGACCGTTCACATTAATTATGGACTATTGCGCTTAATTTCTTGAATTCCTGTTTGATATAATATAAAATAGATAGAGGATTTAGAATGTGGCAAAAGTCTTGTTCGATCCCTCAAACAAGAACATGACCACAGATCCGTGACCTATGCCGAACACTACATACTTATTAGCACTGCTTATTTGTATTGATAATGTAATTGAAAACCATATACTATATATACCGTGGGATGCAAAATTTTTTTAGACCTATTTGTTTTTAAGATAAAAATAAAAAAAAACCATATAATTTTTTGTTATTTTTAATATTAACTTTAAGGCTAATTTTAAATATAAAACTAATGTTTTTTTAAAAAAAGTAACAAAAAAAAATATTTTTTTTTTCTATTGCAATTTTTAAAAAATTATTATTATTAGTTTTATTAACTTAATCAATAAAATAATTTATATAAAGATATTTATGATATTTAAGAATATAAAAAATTTTTTTTAAATTTTAAATATAAAATTTAATAGAGTTAATAATTTTTGATTATTTTCTGAACAGTTTTTTATTATAAAACATATATATATATAATTATTATTATATTTACAGTATATATATAACTTATAAAAAACTTATTGTTAAGATATTAAAGAATTTATTTATAAAGTTTTATATAATTTAATTAATTAATTATTGAATTATAACTAAATATATAATACTAGTTTTTTTTTGTATTATACTGTAAGTGATAACAAATCTCAAGATAAACTTTAATTCCTAAAATAATAACTTGAATAATAATTTATATAATTGTTTAACTTTTATAAAAATAACTTTGATAATAGTTTGAATAGTTATTTACAATTTGTTTTTGTAAATAAACAATATATATATATATATATAACAATTGTTTATATTAAGTATTGGATTTTTTAAAACTATTAATATTTTAATTAAATCTTTTTATATCATAAATCTTAAAAATTCAAGTTTATATATTAAAAGTTTTTTAATTTTTTTATAAACTATTAATAAAGACATATAAGTCAATAACACAATAAATAATGCTTTCAGGGTTTTAAATATATATGGATAATTATTTTTAAAGGCATCAAAAATGCCAAATATGATTTTTTCAAATTTAACTTTTAAACAATACATATTTTTTTTTGTTAATTAGCTAGGCCTTGCTTAATGTGTTTTATTTTATTCACATATGTATTTTGTATATTACAGAAATTACTATCTATAAACAATTTTACATGTCACTAAACTATATTAATTTTATTTTATATTGGCTTATTGCTATTAACATCATTCTAAAGAAATTAAGTCAAAACTAATGTATCAAAGCCTTATTAGTATTGCTATTGTATACAGTAAATAGTTATATTCTATTTAATATTGTGAAAATTTTAAGAAGTTTAAAATATGGGAAATTGGAAGTAGTATCTATTTTTGACAAATAGAATACTAGTTTGAAAAAACATATAAATTCTATTGTTATTGGTACATGGCAAGTCTGTCACTAATTTGAACCAGATCATTACGTAATGGTAAGTATATAGGGGCTTGTGTCACTTGCTAACCAGAGACACTTGTTAATAAACTCTCTTCTCTCTTCTCTCTAGTCATCAGTCTAATCTATACATATTGCTGAAATTCGTAGATCCTTGACGCAATTGATGTAATTATTTGATGCAATTAATTAAGTCACTATTAAAACATATAAATAATTGAGTCATGACGCTATTATTTTTGAAGATTTTGGGAATTGAGTCAACAGCAAAATAATTTACGCCACATGTATAGTCTAATCCTTTACCACAATCTTTTATAGGCTTTTAAAATTACTATAGCAGCTAATAATCAATTAAACAAGTTTATTAATTGTATTGGCACAATTACAAGTATTACAAATTTATACAATAAGAATATTAGCTCTCTATTTTAACTATCTAATTCATCCATATTTATACTTGTTGCAATGCGTATACTGATATACTGTCACATTCTGCAAATCTTCAATTAAATTATTTAGGCTTCATAATGTAGGATCTAATGAATCATGCCATATCATGTAACAAACATCAATTCCAGCGACCCATACATTTTTCCCTGCTAACACTATACTATATCATTTTCTAAATTACTTAGATAATTAAGTACTTATGCTGACTAACTGTCTATAATATCAGTCTAATTACAGTTACTCAACTCAAAGAGTCAACTGTTAAAGCAATTTAAAATAAGATCTTTATAGTAACTTCTTGTAAGAAGAGATATTAAGTACCACAGGAAATGAATTACCAAACTACTATTACATGAAACCAAACATTTTCAACACCTTTCTTTTCTATCTTTTGGCAATTATTGTAATATTAACTGGATGATTATCACACTATGCTATCTTTTATAACTAGATTACAATCTTAACACCTATTAAATCAGCATGTAAATCAGCTTCTTATAAAAAACAGCACATAACAGGTTATGGTATCAAATATCATATTAATTCTATTTAACTACTTTCACTTGGGGTTGAACTGGTATCTTGTGATTTAACTTGTGAAGCACTAACCACTGTACTATATATAAATTCACAAATTGCTTTAAACAATACATATATGGTATAAATTTCAGAATTCTATTGGAAAATTTCAAATCTGCCTTCAAAAATAATTATCTACATTTCTAGTTTAATATCTACAAAAAACAAAATATATTAATAGAGCTTATATATAGAATTATTAATTTTTTTGTATACTTAACCTTAAACATTCAGATTCAATTAAATCATATAAATATAAAATCTTTGATCTTTCTAACAATCACAAAATAAAACAAATTGAAAAAAAAATTGTATAAAAAAAGTTTTTTATTTAAATAAATATATATTTATCAAAAAAATTTACTTTTGCTATTCAATAGGCTTATTAAAACTAGATAACTCTAAAAATAATTATCAATATAAATACAAATATATAAATAAAGCTTATAATTAAACAGAAGTTGTGTTTTGCTTAATATTTATATATCTATATTTGATATTAATTAAAATCTTTGAAATATTTATTAAAAGATTTAAAAGTTATATCTTACTTGATTATCTAACTTCTAAATTTGATAATTTGTATTAATTAAAGAATTTTTGAAACATTTATTAAAAAGAGTTAAATAAGACTATAGATATTATTACTATATAAACCAAAGATATAAAGTAATAAAAAACTTAACTAGTATATTGTTATTTCTATTCCTTTAGGAATCAAAGTTACTGTAAGTAGTTTAAAACTAGTAACAGAATTTTTATATTCTTGAATTTTTATTAGTATATGAACTTATTCTTAAGATATAAGTTGATATATTAAATTAATCAATAGTATTGATTAAATTAGCAATAGCTATTATACTATTTATATATAGAAAATATAATTTATAATATTAATAAAATTTATGTATATAGTATAATTAATATTATTAAATTTTAAATATGTAAACAAATTTACATATATTATAATTTAAAAAATAATATTTTATTTTAAATTTTAAATTCAAAATTATAATTATTAAATAAGTTCTATTTGTTTTATTATAGAGTGGACTGAAATATGGAATATGCATATATATGCATATGTGACAATAATTTTACATATCATATGTGTATATTCTACACCAAAAATATCACATGTTCTATTTCTAATTGGCTAATAAAAAAATTTTTTTGTCTTGATAAAAAATAGAGAAATTTACAAATAAGGATCTAATAAGTAAAAATAATTATAAACAGGGGCCCAAATTAAAAATAATTACATATATAGGTCTAATATATAATTATGCTGCGAAGCAGATTCTGAGATTATTAAATAAAGAAATAAATAAAACGTTAGTTATAATCGTTTTTTATTTTTTTATTAAATTTACATTTGACAATAATTAAACATGTATGTATATAATAAACTATGAAGATTACATTATATATATTTTTTCAAACTTATGTTAATAATTAATTTTTATTTTTATCAATGCCTTCAACTACAAGTACATACATTATGACCTTTTTTACTACATTTACTACAATTAAGTTGATCTTCTAGTGCTGTTTCTCCATGGATACGTAAACAAATTTTTCATGGTCATCCTGCTTGTTTGATTGTGACTGATAGTAATATTTTGTTATCAAGAAAACATATTTCTATATTAACAGGTTGAACAGATTCCTTATAAATATTTTGAAGAGTTATTGTGTAATACGGAATATAAACGAACTGTGAAGATTGTTGACGTGTCTTAAGAATAGCAACATATGCATGTATACAGGGAAATTGATACTCTTGAAATTGTCCACAAGAACAAGTTAATAAGGTAAGATTTACAATACGAAAATTACCATTATTACTTTTAACCTCAAAAATCAATTTATTAACTTGATATACTATTTGACTATGGCATTTGTTGATAACTGATTGAAGTCGTTAAGTAGTTGAAGGTAGTATTATTGTTTGGATTGAAGAGTATGCTATACGACGATTATAATAAAGTGTATTAACTCTATGTACGAATAAAATAA